CCTATATATAGGGAGAGACTGTTAAATACTGCCGTGTGATCAGCTTTCTACCCCCAGCAGAACATGAAGATTAATAAATGAAGAGACTCCTATCAAAACTAAGTTCTCCACTGGGACTGGAGTCTCACCAGGCCCGAGCAGAAGCCTTTCCCCACCGACAGTGCAGGAACCAGAGGGGAAAATAAATCTGTGTTCCTCCCCATGCAGTGCAGGCTCCCAGGGAACCCCGTGCTGAGAACAGACCCAGAGAAGCCAGGCTTGCCCAAAGGGCCAGTACAGCACTCTCTTCTTGGGCGAAATGAGTCGAAACCATCTGCTTCATTTATCACACACTACACTGAGACATCGACTCTGTTCTCACACGAGATCAGCCAAATCTCAAACACAGGCACTCTGAGGAATCACAAACGCCGACGGGCTGGCATCCACGGCTCAAGTCGCTGCTGACTCGTCAGTGAATACCAGGGCACCAGGATGGAAGAGAGCCGTGTACCTTCTTGCCCCACATAAAACGGGGCTGGGCACAGGGACCCAACCTGGTATTCACGGTGCTACTGGGTCACAGCCACAGAAGGGCAACAGTGGCACTCGGATTTCCCTTTGTCCGAATTACACTGATCTGAACTAAGAATTTCCTCCCTGCTATATTACAGACTTGTACTCTCTGCTAAGAGAATGGAATGATGGCTGAGAGTGTTAAATTCATATGAACACAATCTATGGAGTCTTTAGGGGAAATTTTAATTTCCTGTTCAAATAGGTCTCATACGCTTAAATTTCCTCTGCCTGCTTCCCCCAGTCTCCGGTGACTCAGGGATCACACCGATAAGCCACACACTGCCAGCACCAGATAATCTCATCGGTCACCCTCCAGAACTCACAGAAGCTCCTCCCAGGCCTCCGAATCACGAATCACACCACCAGACTCCGCACAGGCTGTGGGGCAGTCGAGAGCCCTCCCCACCCCAAGGGACCCAGCCCCGGCAGCTGGCCTCCAGTGCCCAACCACCGCCACACTCCAGGCCGCTTTCCGGACCACAAAGTGGCCATGCGACACATTATAAGACACTTCCTACCCATTTATGCCTTTCTGCAAGTCCGGCAAGCTACCGAGAGTATTCTGCCCGCACGGGCAGAGCATGGCAACTTCCCGGTGGCGTATTCAATATGCCAAATATAGTAACAACAATAGGTCTCATCCCCCTGACCCTGAAAGAGCCTCCAATCTGCTGGGAGAAGCCGAGTAAGAGGAGGCTGCTAAAATCTCAGGGCTGGGAGGAATGGAGATGTTACTGGCACCGGCTTGAGTAAATCGAAGATCAATGGGATGACAGTGATATGATGATACTGATATGCTTAGATTTCAAACAAACGCAGAGCCAGCAAAATAGTACAATGGAGTTAGATCCCCGGCACCCCCTTGGGTTCCCTGAGCACAGTCAGAAGTGATTCCTGAGCACAGAGCCAGGAGTAATCCCTGAGTACCACTGGCCATGGCCTGCGACCCACCACTCTTCCTTTCTCCCACCCAAACACCAGAAACAAACCAATCTGCTGATTTTCCTTTCTTGTTTTGTTTTGAGCTCCACCTGACTGTGTTAGGGTACCCTATGAGGTGTCCGGGATTTACGCCGGGCTCAGTGGGCTGCCAAGCCAGCACCATAACACCTGGCCTTTCCTGGGTGCCAGCCTCAAGGGAATCCAACTTTGAAATTCAAATAAAATGCAAACAAGACCAAAAGGCCTGTTTTTAAGATGGAGAAGCGCCAAGGGGACCCAGGGCGGCAGCAGACCACACACTCGCTCCCTCCCTCAGTTCAACCCCTCACGCCAAAAATAAAAACCTCACCCCCTGAAAATGTCGAGTTTTCAGTCTCTTACGACTATGGGCTCGCTCCAAGACAGAACCAAGAATGGCATGCCAGAAAAAGGAGCAATTAGATACTCAGAACATCAGACATCAATCACTGACAAAATGCACTGCAAATTATAACGTATAGGGCAGAGAATTTTTTTTTAAAGCTGCTTCAACTTCCTGACTTCAATTTTCTAGAAACATGGTGCTAACTCCAACCTCCGGAGACCTTCATTTAATAGAAAAGTATTCATGAGGCAAATTAAGTCCATGAAAGAAAAAGGAACTATGTCTAAATGGTAGAGTGACCACAGAACTTATCCAAATCTCTTGCTATTCTTTTGTTTTTTAAATTATTTTCCTTTGTTGGGGGGAAGGGGCTGGAGCGATAGCACAATGGTAGGGCATTTGCCTTGCATGCAGCTGGTTCAGCCAAGCCGGGTTCGATTCCTCCACCCCTCTTGGAGAGCCGGCAAGCTACCGAGAGTACCTCGCCTGCACGGCAAAGCCTGGCAAGCTACCCGTGACGTATTCGGTATGCCAAACACAGTAATGACGAGTCTCACAATGGAGACTTTACTGGGCCCACTCAAGCAAAATTGATGAACAACGGGAGAACAGTGATAGTGACAGTGTTGGGGGGGGGGGGTGTCACACTCACTGGTACTGAAGGGGACAGTATGTGGTATCAGGGATGGAACCAGGATTGAATGCGTGCAAGGCAAGTCCCTTAAAACCAGTACTATCTCTCTGGCCCTTGGTTTTGGGGGGTATTGAGGGGGGGGGGGGGAAGGGAGCAACAGGTTGGGCCACACCTGACCTTGCTCAGAGGCTGAGGCTACTCCTGGCTCTGTGCTCAGGGGCCTGCATGTCAGCCACATGGCAAAGCACCCTTAACCTCCTGGGAGGATGTCTCTGGCCCTACCCAAGCCATTTTTTTTTTTTGAGACAGATTATCCATGTCAGAACAAGCACCAATCAGAAATGCTCTGTGTGAAACACAGCAAAAGGAGGCTGGAGTGATAGCACAGCGGGTAGGGCATTTGCCTTGCACGCAGCCGACCCAGGTTCGATTCCCAGGATCCCATGTGGTCCCCCCAAGGACCGCCAGGAGTTAATTCCTGAGTGCAGAGCCAGAAGTAACACCCCTTTGCATCTCCAGGTGTGACCCTAAATAAATATTTTAAAACTAAAAAAAAAAAAACCCACAGCGAAAGATGACACAGTGGGGAGGGCACTTCCCTCACATGTGGCCGCCTTAGGTTTGACTCCCAAGTCCCAAGTTCGGGGCAAGAGTGAGCACCGAACATGCTGGACATGGCGCCCAAACCAAACCAAACCAAATCGGGCAGCCGGGGTCAGGATATCACTGGGCAGGGGATAAGCAGGACAATCATTTATTTTCTTTTTGCTTACGCAGCTTTAAACCACAACCTAAAGCACTACGCAACTATGGATCATTTCACTGCCTCCGTTAAAACATGGAACCTCCGTTTGTGCCTGCCTGCTAAGAAAACCACACACAACAGGTCAGAGCAGCCAGCTCGGGATTCAAGGGTCTTCCTGAGGCAAGACGACATCAGTCTTTGCCGCCACTCAAGACAATCTGCTCGCTGGATTCTTAAGATGGTGATTCTATAATAAAAGCCTGTTGACACTAGGGGGCTGGAGAGTCACACAGCGGGTAGGGCACTTGCCCCATTCCCAGCAGCCCACATGGTCCCCCAAACACTGTCAGGAGTGACTCCAGAGTGCAGAGTCCGGAGTAAGCCCTGAGCCAAAATCCCCACCCCAACCCCAATCAACACCCACCCCCCAAAAAAGTTGGTTAACACTAGACAGCACCAAACCATTTTATAATTGTGTATGTGTAAAAGGTCTGTACACAAACCTACACCTGTTATAACCCCCCCCCCCCCCCACACACACACACACACACATACACACAACCATAAAATAGCTCGTGCGGGGATGCCTCAGGTTCTGGTCCTGGCTTCGCGCCCCACACACAAGCTGTGGGAATGACAAACATGACCAGCCCCCAGAGCGGTCATCGGTACAGGGGGTAACTCCAACTCACTGGGCTCCTGTGAGTCATAAGTAAAGTTGTGACCCACGAAGCGTTGGGGTCTCAGCAGCTAGCTGAGGCTTTCACGGAATCCCCTGCCTCCTGGAAGCAAGAGACCCAGGGGGCCCGCTCCAGCACTCCCCACAGGAGGGCTCTCTGGTTGAGAATGAGGGACATGACTGTGCCCACCTACCCATACTGATAACCCGGCCCTAAGGGCAGGATATGTAAATCATTAACTGACATCTGTACGAGAGAAGAGAGAAGCAGCGCTGTACTAGAGAAGCGAGAAAACTGTACTGTATGTGGGATTCCCCCACCCCCACCCCAGCCCAGTGTACTTAACAAGAACCCCTGGGTAGGGGCCAATAAACGGAGAACAGCCTGGCCACCAGACTCCCTCCTTCTACGGCTTACTTTCTCGGTGGCAGCTGCTACTGCTGCCACAGAGGCAGGAACCCAGGAATCCCGCAGTGCACAGAGGGCCAGGACAGAGGCTTCTCCCCTACCCACACCCTCCCCTTTAGGGAGTAAATCCAGCGACTTTGGGGGTTCATACTAGAGTTTGCCGGGGGAAGGGGGTCAACTGGCCAGGACCCCAACACGAAGTTTTTTGTTTTATCTTTTGGGGTCACTCCTGGCTCTGCACTTAGGAATTATCCCTGACAGTGCTCAGGGAACCATATGGGAGGGATGCTGGGACTTGAACCCGGGTCAGCTGAGTGTTCAAGGAAAATGTCCTACCCGCTGTGCTATCACTCCAGCCCCACGAAACTCTTACAGCAACCTGGCTCCAAGTAAAGGCTAACAAGTGTCACTGACGACCCTACAAATGACTCGAGACATTTTATTCAGAGTCCCGGTGGGGTAGGCAGGCCATACTGGCGGGCGATGTTTGGAGGAAACTCGGGGCCGCTCCGAGCCAGGAAGCCGAGAGCAGAGTCAGCCCCTTCCCGCCTTGCTTGCCCTGCTCCCCCCTGCAACAAACGCCAGTCTCGGGCCCTCGGAATCCCACACCATTCCTGGGGGCACAATTTACCCAGAGGCAGGACCAAGGCCATGGACAGTCGCCCTTACCTTCTTAAAAATTTTCCCATTGGGCTGTACTTCATCTTCCTCGCTTAAGATTTCCCGGGTGCCCAGGAGTCGTTTGTCTTTGAACTTGTTCTTTGCAAAGAGAAACACTTTGTCGAGCGTGTCGCACCCAGGGTAGATGACCGAGGCCAAGCCATCCAGACTGTTGACCGAGCGGTACGCGGACTCCGGCTTGGAACTCACGGGCTTGGCTTTGATCTGATTGGATTTGCCTTTTCGTGACTCCGCCAGGAAGTAATAGGGGATGTACGTCAAAATCGTATAAAGCGTTACTACAAAATGTATGAAGTACAAAAGAACGGGGTTGATGGTCTGCTTCAGCTTCATGGTAGAGGGGCTCGAAGACACGTGGTTGTTCATAAGTACTCAAAAGAAACAAGCAGACTTCCGTGAGAATCTAGGAGAGAAAGAGAGGAGGGTTATGCTTAACCAGGGGCTGAATAAAGAGCAGTACTCCTACATTAAATAAAAAGAGAGAGACAGAGAGAGGATTATGTCAAAATCACTTTCGGGGCTGGAGAGATAGATAGCACAGCGGGCAGGGCATTTGCCTTGCACGTGGCCGACCCGGGTTCAATTCCCAGTATCCCATATGGTCCCCCAAGCACGGCCAGGAGTAATTCCTGAGTGCATGAGCCAGGAGTAACCCCTGAGCATCACCAGTTGCGACCCAAAAAGCAAAAAGGAAAAAGCAAAACAACAACAACACTTTCAGTGAACTACAGTGGAAAACCCTTCGAGGACATCAAGGCCACAGGTGAACATGGGCCCCTTTCCATGCCAAACACTGACCCACCCGTGTCCTTCCTGGACAGTCCTCACATGTGCAGGAGGTGCAGGTCTGCACCGGGTCTCCTGGCAGTACGAGCAGCACTGGGCCATTTCCACAGCCCTCTGGAGCAGGCGACTTTCAGTCTCACTGCAAGTATCCCCAGCTTCCAAGAGCACTGAGGAAGGCTGGCAGGACCCTCAAAGCCTCAGGGCAGGGCCCTCAGAGCAGGGCCTTCCTCACCCCTGTCCCCTCTTGCCTCGTAGGCCAGTGCCGCTACAAACACCTCGGATTCCTTATGCAATTTGATTGTGAACTTCTGGTCATCGAGCATTCAGAGGCCTTGTATTGTAGTGTTGTCCAATTTTCTGCATTGCCCACGTTCGATTACAGGACACCGCGCCACGAACTCAAGCCCCTTCTCCACCTTCTCATCACGGCACGCCACCCTCGATGGCCCAAGCGGAGGCGCTCAGTTGTCTCAACATCCTTTCAGCGGCTGCTGACATGGTCCAGCACCCCAGTCCTGAAGTCAAGAACCGGCTGGTACCACGCTTCCAGCTCTGGACAAGGGTCTCCGAGTGCCAGAGGGTGGTGGCAGCAAATCCCTCACAGGTGCCTCGGAGGCCAGGCTGCAGTTGGAGGAGAGCGCAGGGAGGCTCAAGTGTGTGCCACTACAGAAAACCAATGCACCCTTGGGTGGGAAAGCAATTAGGAGAGGCTGGAGGCACCAGGACAGCAACAAGCAAGACAAACCTCAACCAGTAAAACAAACCATAACAAAAATCACAGAAGGTGACACCAAAGTGCGTCTCCAGTATGCTGACAGCTCAAAGACTGGCCTCGATCAGAATCCTCACAGAGAAGTCAGGGGAAATGGATGGCCCAGGCCTCAGTCCAAAACAAGCACGCAGTCAGCTGATGGGAGAACACGGGGTGAAACCGAGAAAGTTGAGGGTTCAAGCAGAGTTGGGGTGTGCCCAGGGTGGGCCCTAGGGAAACCATAGTCCTCAGCCAATCCCAGGAGCGGCTTGTAAAACAAAGCCAATCCAAGGACAAGCAAGTAAAACACAGCACTTGGGGAAGGGCGGAGGACTGGGCATTCAGAAATGCTACAAAGTGCTGTTTCAAACATTCACAGCAAAACGTCCACCGGCCTGCCAATAACAAGCCAAGTCTGACCCAAGCCCGGGGGGAAGCAGACAACGGGAACTGTCCTTGAGGGGCAGGGCGCTTGCCGTGGTTGATCCAGGTTTGATCCCTCACTCATCTGGTCCCTAAGGGCCCGCCTGGAGTGGCCTGGAGTGATGGAACAGAGCCAGGAGTAAGCGCTGAGGCCAAATGAAAAACAAAACAGAAACTGTCCTTAAGTAGGCTCAAAGGCCGTGTCAGACTAATCTGCTTTAGTCAGATGAATAAGACAAAGCTCCTCTGACAAAATATGCTCAAAGAATTAAAGAAAGCTGCGCTAGACTTCCTGGGGCCAGGAGAGCCCGGAGGGTTGCGTGTGTGTTCAGGGCAGGGTTCCAGCCTGGTGCCAGAAGGTCCCTCCAACACCACCAGGTGGCACCCCCACCCCAATTTCACTGCCACTCTGACACCCGCCTATGGCCGCATCTGCCCTGCAGAGCTAACTCCAAAGAGGCCTCAAGCCCCAGTTCATCGCAGGACCTGGTCATCACCTCCAGCTGTGAGTATCAAGTACTCTCGAGTATGAAGTACTCTGGAGTACGGATCTGGTCCCGTTCACCTGACCTGCTCACCACTTTCCCCTGGGGACGAAGTGCTCTAGCGTATGGATCGGGGTGTCTGAAATCTCGCCACAAAGGACGTGGGGGATGGCAGAAGGCTTCTGCAGAGCCAAGTAGCACAAGGAGAACAAAACGGTCTCGGGACTGCAGAAAACAGACAGGCCTGACTAACACAGGAGAAAGAGCATCTCAGTATGTGAAATATAACATACAAGTTAGTATTTTAAATTTTAAAAATACCACTACAGAAAATCATGGTGCCTCAAAAAAAAAAAAAAAACCCAAAAAAACAGAAGGCACATATGTCCTGCAATGCAGCACCCCATGATCCTGGGGCATCACTAGGGCAACCCCAGTAACCTCTGCGCTGCTTGGGGGACCAGTATCCGTTGCACTGCATCCCTGGGCCCCCAGACATACTGAGCACCTGGAAGCACCCCGGGGTGGGGATGGGGGGGGCAAGTAACACTTGTCCAAACATAGTGTATAAAATTATCACCTGGAGAGTGGAGGAGCAAAGACTAAGGTCTCGCCTTTTTTTTTTAACCACTTGATCACTTGACTTCCCGTTAATCCCTGATTTGCTCGAGCGGGCTCCAGTAACGTCTCCATTTGTCCCTGTCGTGTGCTAGTGTAGCCCAATGGCATCTGTTCGTTCTCGGAACATGAAGAGCCTCAAACTGATCGTTCATGATCTTGATGAAGTCTGACCATCTGGTAGGTGGGCGGCCACATGGTTTTTTGATGTCCCGTGGAATCCAGTCGGTAATAGCTCTAGTCCAGCGGTTGTCTCTAAATCTCATTATGTGTCCAGCCATCTGATTTTTGACGCCTTGGCAAATGAGACAGTGTCTCTAATTCTTTTTTTTTTTTAATTTTTATTAGTGAGACATCATGAGGTACAGTTGTAGACTTACAAATTTTTGTGCTTGGGTTTCAATTATCAATGATCAAATACCCATCCCTCCACCAGTGCCCATTTCCCACCACCATGGATCCCAGTATCCCTCCCACCCCCCATGCCCCCCATCCCCCCTGCCTCTGTGGCAGGGCATTCCCTTTTGTTCTCTTTTATTGGGTGTTGTGGTTTGCAAAAGAGGCAATGGGTGACAATCATGTTTGGTCTATAGTCTACTTTCAGCATGCTTCTCCCATCCTGGGAGGATCCTCCCAACACCCTTTATTTGGTGCTCCCTTCTCTATCTGAGCTCCCTGTTCCCCTAGCATGTGTGGCTGGCCTCCAAGCCATGGAGAAAAATTCCTGGTACTAATCTCGGCCATTCTTGGGTATTGGTCTCCTATTTTGTTACTTTATGTTCCCCAGATGAATTCTTGATCGTTGACGGAGGTCGGAACTCTGGATTCTTTCTCTTACTTGAGTGAAACGTGATACTCCAAGCATAGCTCCTTCAATTCCTCGTTGGGAGACCCGAATAGCATTCTCATCCTGTTTGCATAGGGCCCAGGTCTCTGAGGTGTATGTTAATGCAGGAAGAACGGTGGAATCAAAGAGATGTGCCCGGAGCCGGAGGTTCTTCGTCCTCTTAGCTATTTCTTCGACGCTCTTGAAGGCGTTCCAAGCCGCTCTCTTCCTCCTGCACCTTCCTCAGGTTCCAGGTCATTTGTCGTGTTGACTTCTCGACCTAGGTACACATAACTGTTGCATTCAGAGATGGTCGTTCCGTTGAATGTCAGGGACGAGGCTGTTTCTCATAAACATTGTCTTCGTAAGATTCAGCTGTAGTCCTACCTTTCCACACTCACGGTCAAAGTCGGCCAGCATTTGTGCCGCTTGGCTGATGTTTGGTGTTATTAAAACAATGTCATCAGAAAAGCAGAGGTGGTGTAGTTGCCGACCATCTATCTTCACTCCCATTCCTTCCCATTCCAGTCGTCGCATGATGTTCTCAAGGGTGGCACTGAAGAGTTTCAGTGAAATGGTATCACCCTGCCGAACCCCTCTCTTGACATCAATGATTACTTCTTTGTAGAATGGCCTTGTTTTGCCTAATACTGACATGGCATCAAGGAGCTTCTTATCTGAGGAGTCCAGGCTTGCTCTCAATCATATAACATCTTTTCATCTGAATACCAGTGATGCCTATTTATCAATGGCCTTTGGCTACACTGATGATCTAGAGGTGCCTCATTTTATTCTATTTTTTGAAGACCACGTTGAAGTGAAGAAGGAACATGCAAGGCAGTTCATAAGATTCCTAAAATCTAGTGGAGCTAAAATCTCCCTTCCACTGATTAAGAGACCCGATATACAAACCTGGGAAACTAGCAAAGAAGTTATTAAGACTGCTCTGGAACTTGAAAAACAGCTGGAATTGCTTCTGAAAGACGTCAACACAGTGGCTGAGACGAACGGCGAAGCTGTTGTCAACGACTTTTTTTTTTTAATCTGCATAAAAGACACAAGGTGAGTCATAATGACCATTTAACCAATATTCTGAGTGTGTGGTGTAATGCCAACCGCAAGAAACAGAAATAAGCCTGCTGGGGACAGAGGCTGTGATTCAGTGACAGAGATGCTTCAGGTGTGAGGTCCTAAACACACACACACACACACACACACACACACACACACACTTTCAGAGGGCAAATAAGTAGAATCTCAGAACATTTATATTATGATATGCAATTCGAATCCAGGACTTCTGGCCCCAGTTCTGTGCTTCCATCCATACACCTTACACTGTCTGCATTCCTCGCCCTGCCACAGAGGCAGGGTGGGATGGGGATGGGAGGTGGGAGGGATGCTGGGACCCATGGTGGTGGAGAATGGGCACTGGTAGAGGGATGGGTATTTGATCATTGTATAGCTGAAACACAAACACAAAAATTTGTAAGTCTACAACTGTACCTCATGTT